TGCCTGTATCAGAGACCCAGCTTGGGTAGGGGCTATGGCTCAGTACCACAGCACAATGCAGTTAATTCACAACTACCTCCTCCCCACTCTGCCAATGACCCCTGCTCTATGCCCAGAGGAGAGCAAAAAGAACACCAGCCCAATCTGGCTTGGTGGAAAATGCCTTCCTGATCCCAGAGTTATGATTGACATTACTCTGGGCATGTAAGAGAGGGTCATGAGAGCCGAGCACTGACTCATCCCTTCCTGGCCTCCCTCTCATCATCTGCCTAAGTTCACAGAATCCGCATTGCTGTCAGAGAACTATCCAGCCTCTGCTTTGAAACCTCCAAAGAAGGAGAGCCCACCACCTCCTGAGAAAGCCTGTTCCACTGAGGAATCACTCTGTCAGGAAGTTCTTCCTAATGTTTAGCTGAAAACTCTTTGAATTTAATTTCAGCCCATTGGTTCTGGTCTAGTCTTCTGAAACAACAGAAAACAACTCCACTCCATCCTCTATATGACAGCCCTTCAAATACTTGAAGATGCCATCATGTCACCTCTCAGTCATCTCCTCTCCAGGCTAAACATACCCAGCTTCTTCAACCTTTATTCATAGGATTTGATCTCTGGACATCTCACCATCTTCATCACCCTCTTCTGGCCATGTTCCAGCTTGTCAACACCCCCCTTAAACTGCAGTGCCCATAACAACACAATACTCCAAATGTGGTCTAACCAGAGCTGAGTACAGTGATACCATCACTGCGTGATCTGAACACTATACTTCTGCTGATGCAACCCATAATTGCATTTGACTTTTTAGCTACTGCATCATAATGCTAACTCATGTTCAGTGTATGATCTCCTAAGACCCCTAGATCCTTTTCTTAAGCACTATTGTAAAGACAAGTCTCCCCCATCCTATAATTATGCATTTGATTTTTCCTACCTAAATGCAAAATATTTACATTTATCTTTCTTGAAATTCATTCTGTTAGTTTTTGTCCAGTTTTCCAGCCTGTTAAGATCATCCTGTATCTTGATTCCATCTTCTACTGTACTTTTTACTCCTCCCAATTTTGTGTAATTTACAAATTTAATGAGCATCCTCTCTGTTCCTTCATCCAAGTCATTTATAATGATGTTAAACAACACAAGGCCCAGAACAGATCCCCAACGCATTCCACTGGCAAGTGCTGCATCCAAAGATTGAGGCATTTTCTCCAGCAACCAGTCAAGTCTGGTCATTCAAAGCATAGCCAAATATCAGAAGAATTAAAGCAGGCACTCCTAGGAAAGATAACCCATAGCAGAGATTATGCATAACCTGACAGGGGCAGTAGAAGGTAAAGAGAGAGAAGAGCTGCTGTCCACCAGTCAGGATAGCAATTATATTCACAGCTACTGTCTCTTTACCTTTTAGGAAAGTGAGCTCACTGATAAGAGATATAACAGAGAATCAAAGGAAGGGCTAACCAGTAGCCCAGGCAAGCCTGATCTCATCAGATTGTGGAAGCTAAGCAGGGCTGACCCTGGGAAGTACTTGGAAGGGAGACCGCCAAGGAATGCCAGGGCCAAAATGCAGAGGCAGGCAATATCAAGCCACCTCTCTGAAACATCCTAGCCCACTAGGGGTCACCAGACGTCACCATGACTTCCAGGCATGCAAGCGCACACACACACAAAATACAAAAAAAGAGAAAAGAATAGCTCACTAGCCTTATCAAAATGGGGATAAAACCGGATAATGGCATGGATTCTCCTTTCTGTGGAAACTAATTCGTCCTTTATCAATGCTTCAACTATAGGATCTGTTAGAAATAAGAAAATGGGAGTATGGGAAACCATCCACTCTCGTCTTTGCTAATATTCCCCAGGCTCTCTATTTTCCACTAACCCCTTATCTTTGACATGTTCACACGTGAAGAACAAAAGGCAAAATGGCACCCACTCATTTTTAATGACACACAAAGAGTAAAGGCAAAGGCTAAAAGGAGGGAAAGAAGGAAAGAGAAGTTGTTCTCTCATATTATTCCATAGTAAGGTCATCCCTGCAATTAACTGAAAATGCCAACAATTGCTTCCGCTTACCTTCAAAGCACACACTGTACTAGTTAACACGTTGGGTTTTTAATTAAGTTTTTTTTAAAAAAAAATGTGTGTGTGTGCGCATGTGCACCTGGAAGTCATGGTGTCCTCTGGTGGCTGACCCCTGCTGGGGCATGGAGGATACTCAGGGAGGTGGCTGAATGGGGCCTGCCCCTGCCTCCTGGGTCTGGTATTCCAGGGAGGTCTCCCATCCAAGTACTTGCCAGAGTTGACCCTGCTTAGCTTTTGGGATCTGACAAGATCAGGTTTGTCTGGGCTGTCCAGGTCATGGCCTAGTTAATGTGGTATTGATTTGCTGTTTTAGACCTCATTGGCAAACAGCAGAAAGTGGGAGAAAGCATGGTGTAAGAAGGCTATTTGACATACCACAGCACTATTTAGATGTTGATGTGCAAGTTTTGAAATCTTTTAAAATTGTTAGTTAGGATTTGCACTGTTTGGGGCATTGTGCTTTGTTCACAGAACCTGTTACTGGGATTTTAAGACGTTTGTTTACGCCTTGTGCATTATTCAATTGTTTTTCTTTAGGCCTCAGTAAAATTCTGCTCCTCCATTGATTTTGTCTGAAGCGATGGATTTTTTCGCCCTCCTTAAGTGAGCTTTGGAATGTGCAAGGCCTTTCCATGCTTTAATTTTTAACTTAGAAAATGCATTAGTGAAGAAAAGAACAACACAACAATGGAACATCAATACTGTTGATACAGGAAATTTGAGCAGTCAGTATCTCTAGATTCTGCTGTGATCTTGCATTACAGGTTTTCTAACTTCTCCTGGACAAGAACATGGCAATGGCCCCACTGAGTTTAATGAATTGGGCATTAAGGCTGCAGCTCTACGCACACTTTTATTTCAGAGGAAGGTCCATTGAACAAAGTTGAGCTTACTCCCATCTCTGGGTTAATGTGCAGAGGACTGCATTGTAACTCTTTACAGCAAAGAAGGGAAGGACGGCATTGTAACTCTTTACAGCAAAGAAGGGAGAGAGATCCTCGATCAGGATTCTGTTAGTCTTTCTCCTTTCTGCAGGAGTAGAGGTGGGGAAAGGAGAAGGACAGACAGACCTGTATATGTTGAAACTCTAAAGATTACTCTGTGTTGAAGGCTTGAACACAATAAATTTTATGGCTGTGATCCTAAGCAGACGACAGAGGAGATAACTCTACACAGCCAATCACCCCACTTCGAAGAAGAGGATGCTGTAAGGTCGCCTCCACGCTTGAGAGGAGATGGGTGGAGCATAATGGCAGGGTCTCAGTTAATTACTCTCAGCATTCCACAATTAAAAAGGGTAAATCAGCCCATCAATCTCCAATTTTGACATCTTTATTTCCTTCACTATGATTCCCCCAAGAATTAAACCCAAACAAATGGCAACCATTTAAACTAAGCTTGTTATTACTGTTTGGTCCTTGAATCTGTTAAACATCTTCTTTATGCTCTATGCTAATTTGCTGCTCACACTCTGCCTATATGTATGGACTCATAACTTCTGTTTCAGTGTACGTGACGAAGTGTGTGTGCACACAAAAGCTTATACCTTGAATATAACTTTGTTGGTCTTAAAGGTGCCACTGGACTCAGACTTTGTTCTTATAGAAAGCAAGTCATTTTAGTGTAAATGTGCACAGGATCAGGCTATAAGAGTTCCAAGATAATCTTTTAAATTGGAATCCCCTTTTTACATATTGGAAACTTGGTGTAATGTAATGGCTAAGACAAGGAACTGTACTCTGGGAAGTCATCAGTTCCAGTCTCTTCACCCCAATCTTACTAGGTGCTCTTAATCAAGCCGCTGTTTTTCAGCTTCAGTCCCCTCACCAGTATCTGCAATATGGAGATAATGTTGACCTACTTTACAGGACTGTTGTAAAACACTTATAACGAGATAATGTGAGCTAAGTGCTTTGAATGCTGAAAGCATAATATGGTGTTATTAAAAATAAAAGCACCAGATAAGGCCCACATTCTACACTTTCTTTTTTCCTACCTAACAGAGTGGGAAAAGATCAGTGATGCTGCCCTTTTTCCTCCATGAAAAATGCACTGCCATTCAGAGCAAAGCCCGATGTAGCAGTGGTGCAGACTTATGTCAGCATCATCAGATCACTCCCCCCTCAGTCCTCTATAAAGTGGGCATCACTTGTGGGAGACTGAAAGCACCAAAGCTGGGCAGGTTTAGCAGAGCACCACACACACATACAAAGTAGCGTTTCTTCTGTTACACAACCCAGAAGTAAACCCCACAGGGCTCAAATGGACACGTTTGTGTGAGAAAACTATGGCTCTTTTAGCTGTTCCTTCTCATGCTGTACATTTCATTGTGCTTTAGAGAGGTGCCATTGGATCTGGTTGTATGATGACACAGAGTCTTTTGATGAATATTGTGATGATATCACCTACAGGAACTGAGAAACCTCCTAGTGGAAATCACCCTCATGCTAGGAATTACCTGGGAGTAAATCCCCTTGAATTTATTGGGACTTACTGCTGATTGTGTACATAGACTTATCAGTATTGGATCGCAATAGCTAATTTATTATCACCTTAGTAACCACAATTCTTTGAGCATATTCAGGTTTTCTTCAAAGGCAGGCATCAAGATGGTTGTACCATCACAAGGCCATCCAGTTTGGTTTCTATAACTTTTAATATCTCTGTCATAATTAGACTTTTAAAATTTTGAAGCCTTGCTTGCCCAGAATTCATGCTTGTCAGTGGCTCTGTGGTGGTTTGTAATTTGTCTTAATAGATCCATTTACTCGATCTGAGTCAGGCTGTTCTCTTCTGAGGCAAGCTGGCTTTCTTGCCAATCAAATTTCTCATAGAAGGTTCAAAGCACATAAAGAAGAGGAGGAGCATCAGTAAAAACAGAAACTGTAGCACATAGAGCTCATTCACAGTCAGACCGTAGCTAGGGAAATTTTAGCCAGGATAGCGGAAGGAGTGCAGTAATAGAAAGGCAAATACTACCTGAAGGAGAAAAGATATAAGCAGAAGACCGTACTTGTCTGCTGCCCAAGAAACATGTCACGACCAGCGAACAGAAGATCAGAGAATCCCAAAATAGTAAGCATAATTTGACTGTAATTGATAATACTATTTGAGATGTTACTAGGTCACTGTGGTACTTAGTTAATTAACATACTTTTATATGTTGCATGCATTAATGAGAAATGTATTTTACAAGCTATGGCATCTGTTTCCTGCTGTTCTTCCAAGACACTAAGGGCACTGTATGTTGGATTATTTTAGCTTAGTTTCTATGAGGGAGGTTAGGCTGAGAAAATAATAGCTTTTCTGTGGTCATCCTGTGAGTTTCATGACTGAGTCAGGATTTGAACCCAGCTTTAAAAATAAAATAAAAAACTCCGCACAGAAGGAGTTTTAAAATTATGTACAGTGTAATTGCAGTAGCGGAACCAAGCTGGAAGACTGTTCTGTGTTTACTTCTACATAACCTGAGAAAGCCCCACAACTAACCTCTGCCTCAAGTCATTCTTAGTGCCTGAATTCTTAACAAATATTGAAAATTCCCCTTCATGGTCACCAGGTGGCAGCACAACTAGTGTGTGTGTTTGTGTGTGTGTGTGTGTGTGTGTGTGTGTGTGCATGCGCTAGTGTCTTGTAAATTCAGCAAATAACTTCTTGTTCTTTGAAATTCTTATCCTAGGAAAGAAACAAGCTGTTGCTTTCTAGGGTATAGCTGCTAAAGGGGAATACACAATAAAAAGGATCACTTTCTTCAGTTTCCTATACTAAACCAAGTAATAAGAAGAATCTATTCTACATATGTCTTAAAATTCCTAGTAGTTAGGATATTTTCCTGCAAGCAGTAGTTTATATTTTAGAAAAGAAAACACCCTGTGGAGTCTAATAGTATATAAGGCACTATATGAGCATGTGAAAAATAAATGTATTCCCTTCTGCTATTTATCTGCATTTGGCTAATGATCATCTGATATAAGGCCTTTTGGCAACCCTACTACTTGATATCCTTTTGATGATTTTTGAAGTACATCTTCAAGTACTTGAAGGGCTGTCATATATAGGATGGTGTGGAGTTGTTTTCTATTGCTACAGAAGGTCAGACCAGAACCAAGGGGTTAAAATTAAATCAGAAGAGTTTTTGGCTAAACATTAGGAAGGACTTCCTGACAGTTAGAGCGGTTAGTGGTACAGGCTTCCTCAGGAGGTGGTGGGTTCTCCTTCTTTGGAGGTTTTCAAGCAGAGGCTAGATGGCCATTTGACAGCAATGCAGATTCTGTGAACTTAGGCAGATCATGAGAGGGAGGGTAGGGAAGGTTGCGTCAGTGCTTAGTTGTCATGGTCCTTTCTTATATACCCAGGGAAATACTGATCACCACTTTAGGGCCAGGAAGCAATTTTCTCTAGGCCAGTTTGACCAGGGATTCTGGGTGGCTTCTTCTTCTTCTTTTTTTTTGCCTTGTTCTCCTGGCATTTGTGAATTTCCTGCATTATACAGGGGGTTGGACTAGATGACCCTGGAGGTCCCTTCCAACTCTATGATTCTATTCTATGACTCCCTGGGTTCCCACAGATGCAGTTGTAAAACTACTGCCTCAGGACACAGCATATCTGTAAAAGAAGCAATGGAGGCTCCTGGATTGGATCAGGGGCATAGTGCTAAAGAAGGGCTTGCCCCTCCCCCTCATTGTTTCTCTGATCAAAATTGCTCCTTCCAGCTGTGACAAGGGTTCCCTATATGTTTTTTCAAGCAGGGCAAATAGTGATAAATCTGGGAAGTAGCACAGAGAAGAGATTAAATGTCCCCCCTAAGCACTGTGGCCAATGCTCCCTCTAAGCTGAGGAGTCTTGTGAGCAAAAATTCTCCTTTGTGAGCTACTGGCATTAAAGTTGTGAGCCAGCGATTTGGCTACTGCATAAATTAGTTTGCTCTGGAGCCCTCCTTCCTGAGCAAAGGCAAAAATGTGTGAGCTGGAGGCTAAAAAAACTGTGAGCTAGCTCACACTAACTCAGCTTACAGGGAACACTGACTGTGGCCTCAGTCCGATTTCCCTTTCCCCAGGGTTTTGGCATGAAATTAAAGTTGCCAGGAGATCCAGTCAGAGATCTCCAGTTGACAGGTTGTGTAGAGAGGTAATGGTTTTCTGTCTATGTCCTGTGGAACCCTGGGGTGCATTAAAAGTATATCAGATTCATCCGTGAGAAAACTAATAACAGATTCAGTCACCATGGTTAGTCTTCTAGAACCCTCAGCTACAAAGGCATGGGGTGGTGGTGGTGGGTATTGTGTTTATATCTCAGCAGGGCAAAAGGCCTGGCCTATGCCCCATGTGAACAGAAGGCATTTCCTTCAGAATCCTAAGGCCACAATGTGTTCCAAATGGGTGCTGTTTCCCAGCAGCACTCTCACTTTTAAAGTAGTTGGCATTGTGAATGTTGTTCATTGTGGTGGGGAATGCACCACTGGAACAGTCAAAACAAAATCTTGTTCATATTCTCAAACATGCACAACTTCAACTTTAAGCGTTAGATACTTATTGATCATAGCCATGTGACCTATTTTCTTTGTTAGATACTTATTGTATCCATACTTCTTTTCCAAGGATTGATCATAGCCATGTGACCTATTTTCTTTTAAACTATTAAACTGCTTTTGCATTTCATTCCATTGCTTTTTCCTTCTTTCTTTTGTCTTTCCAGCAAAGCAGTATAAAGAACTGTATGACTTTGTTGCCATGTCCCACCCCCCCACTTTATTTCTCTTTATTTTGTAGGATTGGCATTTGCCCACCATTTCATCCTCTGCATCAGCACATCATATGGTATGCGGCTCTACCCACATATCACCCTGCATTGCTTTTCCCCGGGTACTGGGATATTTAAGGGATTTGTGTTGGGCTATGCATTTGTGATGTTGCCAATATGGTGGACAATGTGTAAAGCAGCACTTACTGAATGCTAGAAATGCACTCTGGTTGTTTGTTTATTTTAACTAAAGAAGCTTTTTATTGGAGAGTTGGACCAGTGGGTGGGAAAGCAATTGGCTTCTAATTTGTTATGTTCTTTAACTATGGGCTTCACTCAGTATTTCCTGTAATTGGCAGAGCAGAGAGCTTTTTGTGCTCACCTACGGTGCTTTGGTTGCCCAGCTGTGTAAAGATTATGAACAGGATGAAGACGTGAACAAGAGTTTAGATGACATGTAAGTAGCAAGTGTATGTTCAGACACTGTAACATAATGGCGTAGCAAAAACAATGTCTTCCTAACATTCTCCCCCCCCCCCATGAGTATGAAAAGTCCAATCTAGGACAGAAAATGAAATATGGTAGGAGGATGTGGAAATCTCACTAGTGTCACGCTGTCATTGCTTCTTTCTGAAATTCCCAATCTCTGTCCTCAGCACCAGTTTGTTTGGTCTGCATCTGCTGCTTCTGGGTGTTCATAGAGCCCACATCATTCTAAAGAGTTTTTCAGGATGTACCTGCTAATTTTGAATGGCTGCTCTGTTGTGGTCTTGTAGACCTGCAGAATGGTAGTATCATGGCCACTATGGACCTGGTAGCACCCAGGCACTCTCTGATAGCAGACATGGTCAAGAGGGTGTTCTTGTCTGATCTTTAACGAGATAGCAATGGGAAACATGGAAGCAGGACAGTCTTAAGGCAAATGGAGTCCAAGATAAAATAGGCTTGGGTTAATTGTGGCTGTTAGAGATTTGCCAGGTGGTGTGGGTGGTTCTATTCAGCACCAGCTGAAGTTTTCAAATAGTCATCAAGGGCCCCGATCACATGGGAGACTTTGGCCCGGGAGAGGGACGGATCGGGGGCGCAGCAAACGGGCGCGATCTCACCGCAACATCTGGGAAGCGGCGCGCACCCGTCCCCGATCCATCCCTAAACCCTGAGAACCCGCTGCAAAAAAGAACCTCCTACAGAGGACTTACCTGAAGCACCACTGCAAGCATGGCCATGGGATCGCCGCTGCGCCCGTCGTCCGGATCAATCCAGGCTCCCCGCCAAACTGCACATGTGCACATATGCGCAGTTCGGCTGTCGTGCTCTTTCTTTAGTGGCTTTCCCCCCGGCATCTGATCATGCCGGGGAGGAAGTGCGCGGCGGCTCAGGGGATCTATGTGATCCCGCCGCTGCGTCTCTCTTTTGGTGCAGCCTGTGCTATTCTCCCTCCCCCCCGTGTGGCAGGGACCAAGGTTAGCCTAATACAGGGCATCTCTGTAATACAAAAGGAAAGCAACTGAGGCTTGATTGCTAATGCTATTGTTCTGTTTTGTCTTTGTGTCCTGCACAGCCCGATCCTAGAGCACTAAATGCTTTCCCATTAATTGCAATTATTTCCCAGGTCAGCACCATTGGGAATAGTGAGAGAGTGTAAGAAAGAGTAAAATCCCCTCCCAATCCATTTGCAGTCTTTCAGCTAGGCAGAGGTGCTGCTGTTTATATATGTTTCATTAAATTTTAAATAAAAGTACCTTAGTAACCGTTTTATATATAGTAGCCCAATACTATCTTTAGGCTTTAGGCCAGCTACTTTATTTCTTGCAGGTAGGGTTGCCAGTAGGCCTGGAGAAAAATGCCCTGTCCCTTTAACAGAGGTTTTCATGTGGCAAGGGGCAGTTAAAGCTTTTAATGTCATGGAGGTAAGTGACATCATCAGGTAGATAACATCCCATTAAGCTTGTTTTTCTCCAGGCTTGTTGGCAACCTTGCTTGCAGGCCTTTATAACCAGGCAGGAATCCAGCTGGTGAATGTTCTCCCTGCTGTTCTATGCAAGGGGAAAAGTTCAGTTTTTGACTCTCAGCTAGGGTTGGTCTAGTGGTTCTTTGGACATTCTCTTGGGTTCTTGAAGATGAGTTACTTCCTGTTTTATATGATATTTCAGTCTCAAGGGCCTGTTTTTAGTTCTGATACATCAGCTGCTTTTAATTCTGTCTTCGGAGGGAAGTGGAAAATAAATAATTTAAACAAATGTTGGAATCAGGTTTAAGCTATGTTTGTTGTGTTTATTGACTGCATTTGTACCCTGCCTGTCTCCTCAGTGGGAACCCAAGTGACTGACATTAATTCTCCTCTGCTCTATAATATCATCACAATAGCCCTGTGAGGCAACTTAGACTGAGAGGTGTGACTGGCCCAAGGTCACCCAACAAGCTTCTGTAGCAATAGGGATTTCAGCCTGGGTCTCCCAGATCTTAGTCTGACACTCTAACCAACCACTACATCACAGTAGGCATATTCTGGTAATCGTTCCTGTATATCAAGATACAGAAGCCGGCCAGTGTGAATTTTTTTCTGGTCAGTACCTTTATTTCATCTATCTGTTAAAGGTATAAAAAATCTGTCAAAAATGCAGCTGTTTTTTTTTTTTTTTTTGGTAAATATTTTAATTATTTTCCAAACAAAAAGAAAAGAAAAGAAAAGTGCATATACCAACAACCATAAATTCCATCCAGCAACTCGTCAAAGGATTGTACCACCATATTCACTTACACCTGAATTTCATTTTAGCAACCTTTAACAGTTATTTTTGTAACTTGTACCTTTTACTTTACCATATTTCAGATATGTTGTCTACTATTGGGCAACCCAGAAACATATTTCCCTGTGTACTCTAACTTAGAATTGTTCTATCGTAATTGTTCTTACCCTTAAAAATTCCCATTTAAAGTTGTTACCTCTAAGTAAGGTTTTTACCATAATTAAAGATGTACAATGCTCATCAAACCCTTCATTAAACGACTTCCCTCAGAGGAGGCCTGTCTTCTTATCTATCTTTTGTTAGTTTCTTTTTACATTTTACTAACCATATTCAATCAAATTGGGTCAACCATCTCACCTCTAAAGCCACCTACTTACATTCTATTTTTCTAGTGTAAATTAAACATTATATTGATACTGTTTCCTATTTTTTTAATAGTACCTTTTTAAGACCACTGTTTAAACACTCTCCAAATCCACTATTATTAACCCTCAAAATAACATGTTCACATATATCGTAAGGGTTGAAGATTACATAAACTAAAAAAGAAGGAAAAAAACAAACAAAGGAAATGTTTAAGAAAAAAAATCAAAATATAAATTTATACATACAGAGAATAAATGGCGTAAAGCCAAAAACAATAACTTCTAAACAACAACTTATCAAAAACTATTCAACAGTTTTCACTTACACATGGGTTCCATTTCTAACCAACCTTTACCAATTAATTTTGTAACTTATACCTTTTAGTTTACCATATTTCAAATATGTTATTTACTGTTGAACAAAACAAAAAACATATTTTCTTGTCATCATAAATATTTTTACCCTCAAAAAATTCCCATTTAGAGTTAATAACTTTAGGCACAAATTTAACCATAATTAAAGATATACAATACTCTTCAAACCATTCATTAAACAACTTTCCTCAGAAAAGGCCTATTTTCTTATCTACCTTATGTTAGAAGTTACTCCCTTTTACCTTTTGTTAACCTTATTTACTCAAATTACACCAACCAACTGACCTCTAAAATCATCTACTTCTTACAACCCACTTATCTAAATTAAATTACAAATTACATTTATATTGTATCCTAATTTTAGTTAATACTTTTTAAAGCCATTATTTAATCAGTCACCAAATCTACTATTTGTTAACCCTCCACATAATATGTCTAAGCACATATATCATATGGGTTAAAATGAAATTCATTTATCAATGCCTTACTATATGAGCAGTCCTTAATCTCATTTCTCATTCAAACCAACATCATACAGAATAAATACATTGTTACAATCACCAATTAAATATCATCTTTTCCCCCAAAAAATCAATAATCTTTCCCCCCCACAACCATTGCCTGATGTCTATCCTCTTTGTACATTTTCACCTTCTTCTTCACACTAATGATTTGCCACACTTTGCAATTTATATTCTTTTTTGCCAGCTTCCTCCTTGCTATAATCCAAGGTTTTTGAGAGTCTCTTCTTGTCAATTTAAACTTGACATAACCAGTTCTCATCAATTTCTTTTGGCTTGTTCTCTTTTTTGCTATTTCTCCCATTCTTTTGCCAAAACGTTTTAGAGAAGCCCTCTTTCTCAGCCCAGTCTTTAAGTAAATGGGTTTTATAGTCTCCTTATAATTACTCCTTTGTTCCTTACAATTTTCTGCATGTATTGTCAATAAAGGTTGTATATCAAGAGCCATCTTCTCTTGGTCACAGTCCTGTTCCTCTGTAACATCCTGCCTGCTTTGCACCAACTCTTCGTCTTTTTCCAAATTTGAATACACATTCTGCTTATTTTTTGTATAGTTCTCATTAGCTTCCTCAATCCCCTTTTGTATCCCTTCCATAAGTAGTCTCCAAAATTGCTCTATGGACAACTCTCCAATTTCCATATCTTCATTAATCTTCTCCTCCTCCTCTTCAGTGTCCTTTTGGAATGCCATCTCTCTCTCTCTCTCTCTCTCTTTTTAACTACGCCTGCTCTTTCCACCTCGTTTATTCATATAGCACTGATTAACTCACACTGAAGATTTACTGAATTTTAACAGCTACAGATCTTTGCCACCGAATTAGTTTTTACCCCCCAAAAGACGAGACATATGCTCAATTATTCCTCTTAATCACTTTCTGGCCGTTCTTCACCTCCATTTTGGAAACGTACAGCCTGGGGTATATTTTACCAAGAGTCATTTTTTTACAAATTGCCAGTAAAGGTACAAGTACTCACTTAAACTTCCCTTCTTTTCCTTTTCCATGTTGCTGTGTACTAAATTTATATCCAAAGTGTTTAAAAACGGATGGCTGCGGCTGGGTAGAACATGGTGACCATGTCCTACTCCGGTAATCTCTCCTGCTTCGGGGCAATAACGGACGCCCCCCTGCATTCGCCAGGTGCAGAAGGGGCCAAGACTGAGCCCCCTGTAACCGAACCTCTCTCCGGGAGGTCCAGTGGAGTCCTCCCGGTGACCAGGAGGCTCCCAAAGGAGTGAAAACGGATCAGATGGCTTGGAGCGACCTGAAACTGCCCATCACCGTGCCGTATCAAAACCAAAAAATGCAGCTGTTAAAGGTATAGAATATCTGACAAAAAACAACACCTGGAACCCAATTCAGAATGTGGATTCATGTAGAAAAGGTGTTAATAATTCCTGTTCAGTATGACCACTGTGAAAATTAGAATCATCTGGAGAGTTTTCTAGATAAATAGATGAGAACTGGTCAGTGAAGGATGAATATGGCAGTATTTTTTATTTATTTGTGGGATTTCAGAAATGAAATGAAAAAAGTCAGAAAGTAGAAAGGGATATTTTAAAGAAGCAAGAAAATAACCATTGGTACTAAGTTTATAAAAACTCTCTAAACATATGCCCTAATTGAACTGTTCTTAGTGCACAGGTATAGCTTTCCTATGTGCGATTAGAGACTCATGTTACTTCAAGCCCTTTAAGGCTGTGTATACATGCATCAAGTTTGGCCCAGTGCTTCCTAGAAATGGAGAAAGACAAAGGACATTCAAACCATGCACCTATATTTAAAGTAAAATAGGCTGCATAAAAGAAAAGCGGAGAGAGAGAGACTGTATTCAAGACCAAGTTGGTCCAGCAGAATACACCCCAAGGAGAGGGGATGATTGCTAGCTAAAGGGGAGAAAAGGGAGAAATATACTTTGTCTAATGAAAAGGGGTGGTGGTGGAAGTTATACTGTCTGAGGCACCTTCAAGATAATCAGGGGGTGATATAATTAGTCCTGTGGACCGTTGGAGTTGGGCTTGGTAATCCAGTTTTTGGTAGAGGTACCAAGAGTTGCTGAGAGGCTGGCTGCTAACCAGCTCTAGCCATGTAATAATATTTGATTATCAGTCATTCCTTCCCTATCTCCTGCATCCACAGCTTTCAAAATTGGGATGTGTACTGACTTTTGCTGGGTCACAGTCTCAAGTGATTCAGGTAACCTGGAAATTAGATAGGGCAGTATCACTACTTCTGCCCTGACCCATTCAGCATCCTGTATGATGAAAGAAAAATCAGAGAGGAGACACAACTGGCTAACATTTTCCCCCTTTTATACTAGGGGATACAGTATTGGCGTCAGGCTGGTCGAAGACTTTTTAGCTCGCTCTGCTTTGAAGAAGTGCCGGAGTTATTCTGAAACTGCAGACATAATTGCACAGGTACAAGAAGATACAGACACTGCTTTGATTTGGCAAGGCCAGGTCCCAGTTTACCCAGTATCCTCTCCTGTAATATACTTAGAATACCAATTACACCAGCTTTTATCAACAGATAAAAATCCAATTTCTAGACATATGTTTGGTTGATACATTACTATTTTGAAGAGCAATCGGATATGCCAGGCAGTCATATGTGTGCAGCCTTTTTGTTCCAATATATTGGTCAATGGTTGGAGGTAATAGCAAAAGATTTCCTTTTAGGAGGGGGGCCATGGCACAATGGAAGAGTATCTGCTTGGCGTGCAAAAGGCCCCAAGTTCAGTCCCTGGCATCTCTATTTGAAAGTATCAGGTGGTAGGTAATTTGAAAGCTTCTGCCTGAGACCAGGAAAGCTGCTGCCACTCGAAGTAAATACTACTGACTGCTGTGACAAACCAATGATCTGATTCACTATAAGGCAGCTTCATGTGTGTATTCTTGTGTTTACTCCTGCGTCTGGCGCAGGCAGGTGCAGGGCCTTTAAATTATAGCATGGGGAGACACAGTAATTGGTTAAACATCTATTCCTACCACCCTGTTTCTTGACTATGCTGCCTGGACACCACACTTCCTTCATCAGAGTCTGTGGGAGGTAGCTACAGAGAAACCGCTTAACATGTGAATTGACATTTTGGGGACTCATATGCCTTAGTCCATTTAATATGTGCAGACTGACTAAAAATATTTTTAGATAACCTAATTCTGGCAAGTGAGATGGAGTTCTCACTCACTGATTCACACCCACCCACCAAAAAAAGGCAGCCTTGGCTTTGGGGGGAATGTTGTGTAGGTTGGCCTAACTAATGGTAAGGAGAATATAGGGTACAGAAAGTGCTCATATTCCTTTAAGTGTTGCACAGAAGAGTACCTTTGAATAGTGTGCATTGTTACCCAAATAGGCAGTTAGTTAGTTGGGGGAATTAGACAGAGTGAGAAGGGATAACTGGGATCTCCATCAATGTTTATGGGGATTTTTCCATTTAAGAGAACTCTCAAATAAATGAGGGCCCTGTTCACATGGAGGATTTGCCGCGGGAGAGCGATGATTGCATGGCGGATTATCCGGGCGCGATCACACCGCAACATCTGGGAAGTGGAGTGCACCCGTGGCCAACCCGTAGTGTACTGCCAAATATGCGCAATTAAAAACTACCTGCTCAAAGGTACTAGCAACCGGTTTGCCACGGGCTTCCTCCGGAGTCCCTCAGTGTGACTGTGCCGGCCGCGGCTTTTCCCTCCGGCCCCCTCGTTGATGCGCAGGCACGGAGGGAAGGAACCGTGGCGTGCCGCTGATGTGTGGGATCGCATTATGGCGGCTCTAATTGCGATGGCGCAAAAAGCCCTGCCTCCCCCCTGCGTTATCCAGCCCGTGTGACTGGGGCCGAGGTACATGTTCAACCAGAAAGGTTTTATTAAAAGGAAAGAATAAAACAAAAATGCACACAATAAACTCACACACAAGAGCTAACTAAGAGGAAATCAGGGAGGAAAGAGGGAAAGTTTTTTTTGTGGGGGAGTGTAATATTTACCAATCTTGCAGAGGTCCAGGAAGCAGCAGCAAAATGGCCAGCATTTCACAAAGAGAAGAGAACCCACAGAGTGGGGGTGTGGCCAAAACACACACACACACACACACTGCTATGGAGCAGAGTGCCATAATTACAGGGGGAAAAGGATCCTCAGGCTGGGGTGACGTGATCCCTTGATAGGCTTACCAGGGTGGACAATGATTTGGGAGAGGCTTAATGACTTTGTAAGTACTGGACAGGAAAAGCTAATGGGTTGGGTGAATAGAATTGAGCGTTGATCAATTGTTGCTTGGTTAAGATAAGTGTAAGGCAAGGAAGCAAGGTGGGATGTTGATGAGATTAGCTCAGGTGTGAGCCAATTAGTCCTGGGAGACCCACTGTCCTGTAGTTATGCATCGCTCTTGGGCATGGAGGGGGCCATTAGCCAGTTAGCCACTCTGACTCACCGTCCAAAATACTTTCCCAGGTTCTTACCTGGCTGGCATCCATTTTGTTCCATTTTAGACCAGGCAGTGTCTTGCACTTATGAGTTTTCAGGTGATATTTTAAGAAGGGTGTTTATGATTATTCAAGCTATAAACTGCCCATCAGCGAGAGGAGGAGTCTGACTGCTAACAGTGGATAGCTAATAGGCAATGCCACTGAAGGAGCTGGGGCCCTGTATCTTCACAGAGGGCATCGTGCAGTGGTAGTGAGTTCTGTATCTTTCTGTGCTTTGTCCTCCATTCTTTCATTCAGCAAATCCCAATGGTAAGTGACTCATGTCTGAACAACGGGAAGTGTTTGCTGACTGAGGGATTAAAACACTGAGGCAAAGGTGGAGCCTTCCCATATTTTCCTGTTGCCTTCCTCATTTTGATGTGCAGATCACAAGCTCTTTCCTTACAAATTTATTTATTTAGAGATTATAGACTCTGCCAAGAGATAGTGACTGGTTTCTGGTACTGTAGTTCTTGTATTTTAACCCAGAGCCTTTACAAACAACATAAAACAGAGCAAAACATGGTATTGTATGAATAAAATCTCAGCTAGCCCATCAGATTGAAACCAGATGGTAAAAAGAATCCTGTGGTGGAGTCATCAAAACCACACTCAGAATCTGAGTAGGCTCCAAGTCAAGTATTTGTATAGACTATGAGTGCCACGTGAAGGGGGCAAGTCATTTCCCTACAATATCTGGGGGATATTGTTGTTAACCTCGGATGACATGTGTAATAGCAGATGGTTACAAAGGTCATCATTCCAGGTCTTAACTGCATTAGGGTTCAGTCTGATGCTAATAGTTTTATACAGTCATAAGGGATGCTTCACACATAAATATGCCAATATCACATGTGTGTGAGAGAAAAAGCATTTGCACCATCTTATGTGAAGAGTGTGCATATGCTATTTTGCCACAAGTACAGTGGGAAACTGCAGTCCTCAACTTTTCCTCCTGTGTAAATGAAGGGGAATTAGTGTATTTTCTTTACATATGGCCGTTTTAGCCTCCCAGTCCGCTCCTGTCTATCTCATCTGCTGACTGAAAACATGTTTGTGTGGCAAAACTGGACTTCTGATAGGTGAAGGGAATGACTCTGTGACAGAAGATACTGAAGAAATTCATGTACTGGGACCATGTTCCAGAATCAGAGTATGGAGATGAGTTACCCCCTTGTGCTGGCATGTGGGCCATGTACACGTTTGCTCATGGTATTGGGATGTAAGATGACATTTCCCACTTTTGATTCTGACCCCAAAGTAGAAACATGCAGCTGTTAGACAAACACATGTGTATTTTTGTGTGTGCATATTTATGGATCAGGTGGTCAGCAGTGGTAGCTTGGACAGTATTGGCTACCTATTTAGGTGACAAGGGAGGTCTAGACTCTGTCCTGTTTACTAGTACTGACCATCAGTGGTAGCTAAACATGCAACTGATCCAGTGACAAAAACTACAATGTCTAATCCCAGGGGTTGGTTGCAGGAGTGAAAACACAGGAATTATGCAGCCTCCAATTGTATGCACTGCTCCTGATCGACAAAAGAATTCATTTGTGGAGGTCATCCTTGGTGTATGGTTCACAGACTCATGGGTTTGCTCCCTTTTTTGTTTTTGTAGTGCACAATGGTAAGTTTAGTATTTAGTCTGTACGTAAGTTGCAATTTGTGGTTTTAGCATGTGTAACAACAGCGAACATAGAGCATAGATCAAGATTGTAAAGGATTTTCAATTTAGAGGTTAATTGACAAAAGATTTAATAGTATCTGTTACTATTATCTAATGGCTACATTTTAATTGAATGCATTAGGATTGCCAGGTGTCCTTTACCCGGTGGGGGGCTCCAGATTCCTCTCTGGAGTCTTCTTCTCTAGCATTCAGCCAAAAACTCTATGGTCACCATAGAGTTCTTTGCCAAACGCTAGAGCATCCCCCCATGGTGTGCCCAGCATGATGACGACACCTTCAAGTGACGTCATTGCCCCGGGCACGTCAGGCACTGTGAACCTCTTTGGAGATGGGGCTCCCCCCACTGGCAGCTGGCTGGCAGGTGGATCAGGGGGGCTGAAATTGGAAGAAATCCTGCCCCCATTGGGGGGATGGCAACTCTAGAACACATGCCTCAGGTTAAAAAACTCCTCATTTATTCTTATTGGATTTGTAATGAGGAAGTAACATCCGAATCTCATTTAAATTGTGAAACTGAAGAATACACTTTGAAGCTTAGCTCACTCAAAGGAATATGCATGATCTCCAAATTAACAGTGCAAAACCTCAGAAGTTTCAGAATGGAACATCCTCAAAACAGCTGGCCTGTCCTTTAAGAATCCAGCAACCCTCAGCTCATTGGCTATGGAACCATGATTCTGTGAAAGAAAGCCCCAGACTTACTTTCAGTCTATGTAGATTCAGAAAATTAAAAATAAATCACGTGGCTGGCCAAAATGAAGATAGGTTCACCATGGTGGTCTGCAGTGGAAGAGCTAGATTTGTGTCTAGTAGCACTTTGAGGCCCAAAAAGTTTCTTGAGGTAGAAGGTCTCAAGAGTTAAAGCTCTGCTAGTCAGCTACGAGTAGGAATGGAGAAAACCCTGCTTTGGAGGGCCGATTTCCGCCGCGGCGGAATCGGGCTCCGGGGGGAACTCTGCCCCCCGAAGCTGCGTCACCAGAGGTCAGGTTGGGGGGCTTGGCCCAGATCGTCGGGGGGGGGGAACCATATGGTTTTGCCACCTGACCAATAATAGGGTCCACACAACCCGGTCATTATTCCCTTTTCATACTTAAGGCTTTCCCTTGTCCATATGACCAGTATGTTGCCGGTTGCATTATGAATGCTTCAAGCTTAAAAGGGAAAATGCTGCACCCATCCCTAGTGATTGTTCCAAGATGGTATTCTTTTTTGAAATCTGATGGTGTTTCAAGAAGCAAACAGAAATAGTGAAGCTTCGAAGG